CATATACATAATTTTTATTCGAGATATATAAGAATAAATAATGTGGTTTAACTTTTCTTGTCACAAACTTGTTTTCTAATTGATGTTGATATATCCTTAAAAATTATTACAGGTCATAAAATATGTGATAAAAATCTTGATAGTTATCAATAAATTGTCTAATAAACAAGATTGTTATCAGTATAATACAAATTATCAAATAAAATAACTTACAATATAAAATGTGTATAAATTCCAGACAACTCCACTCTGACCGTGACCCAATACCAGAGGTGCCCGCAGTATACTTTTGCGCGCCAACTGAGGAAAACCTGGGACGTATATGCCAAGACTTAGACAATGGGGTCTATGACCAATACCATTTGAACTTTATCTCGCCAATAACTAGGCAGAAACTTGAAGACTTGGCAGCTTCAGCTATTCAGTCAAATTCGGCAGTAAATATTCATAAAGTGTATGATCAGTACCTAAACTTCATTTGTCTGGAAGATGATCTTTTTATAATGAAACATCAGCAGTCTGATGCTTTATCTTATTATGGTAAGTCTAGGTTCCTATATGGACACACATTAACAACTTACCTTTTTCTTAGAAAATTGTTTTTAAAACAATGTAGCGGTGATTGTTATTTTTAAATATAAAGCTTCTTGTTTGTTGCAAAAATAAGTGAAACTTCTAAAACTTATAAAATATGACCCCTTGTACACTCTGTATTTGTCAGCCTGCTTGTGTAAAGTTTTTAATAATGTGTACAATAAATAAATATAACAATGTATACTTATATAAGTAACATATACAGTAAACCCAATTTAACAATACTCACACATACATATATCACTATGCTTTCATGTTTACCTCTATAATTACACATAAATAATTAATTCTTTCAGCTATTAATAGAGGTGACACCAAGGACACAGAAATGGAAGCAATAATGGATAATATAGTGGAAAGTCTATTCTCAGTATTTGTGACATTAGGTATGTATTATGTTATCACAACTATGACTCAAGAATTAATATTCAAATACAATAGTAAGGAAGAAAATAGTTCAGTAATTGTGCTGTTTTATGTAGCATATCACATTTCTTTTAAATTTAATGCATTTATTATTTGATTGAAGGTAATGTTCCTATAATTCGAAGCAGCAAAGGTAATGCCGCGGAAATGGTGGCGAAAAAGCTCGATAAGAAACTCCGCGAGAATCTATGGGATGCAAGAAATAATTTGTTCCATGGAAACACTGGTCAAACAGGTTCCTTCAGTTTCACCCGACCGATGTTGATCCTATTGGATAGAAATATCGATATGGCAACACCTTTACATCACACTTGGACTTACCAGGCTTTGGCGCATGATGTGTTGGATCTTTCTTTGAATAGGTATATTTTTTAAGAATTTTAAATACTTACTAGCGATCCGTCCCGGCTTCGCACGGGCGCAATTACTGGGTCAGAAGCGACACTAACTAATTAAATGACGATTGATCAGTTTTCGACTGGAGAGGAAAAATGATTTTATTACTAAAATGGCTATTAAAAAATAAGGGTTAGTCGTAGAAGGGTGAAAATTGAGGATTGTATGTATTTTTGTATGTTATATCATAAAAATTAAAAATTTTGTGTAAAAAATAAAAAAAATTTAGGTGTGGACTAACAAGAGGATAAATAATAGATGTTGGCCGATTCTCATAGATACCGGATAAGCACATTTATTTTTATCAAAACCGGTCAAGCCGTTTCGGAGGAGTCAACGAAAACTGTGACACGAGAATTTTATATATTAGATAACTTAATGTTTTTATAACTCAACAAATGTAATGTGTTTCTTATATTTAATATCACAACAACACTTCGCCAGTCAAAACCACCATGAAATCTTTAGAGAAAAATAAAAAAAGTTTCTTTCCTGAGAAAAATAAAAAATTGAATTAATAATTTGGCCTATCAAAGAAAATACTATTTAGCTTGACAGTTATTTGACGATCAGAATGCTAAAAATATATTTTTATTTTCCTCAGAGCAGTGGTACCTGAAAATCAGACGCCTACTGTGCAGGATCAGAAAACGAAGACGCGAGTCTGTGACCTGGACTCCAAAGATCCGTTGTGGTCCGAACATAAGGGCAGTCCGTTCCCTACCGTCGCCGAAGCTATACAAGAAGATCTCGATAAATATAGGTATGTATGTTCTTAGTTTAAAACTAAAGTGTGAAGACTTCTAGTAAATTCAAATCAGCGCCGCCCATGGACACTCGTTGTACCAAATAAGTTACTACAAGTGTGTGACCAGCCTCTTGCGGGTTATTAGGGATAAAATGATTGAGGATGGCGGGCTTCCGGTTACCTCACTCACACTGTAAAACATAACTATTCATTTATGTTTTACAGTGTGAGTGAGGTGTTGCTTCACGCTGGTTTCTGTGGGGGCGCGGTGTGACTCCAGTCGAGCAAGCCCATTCGTGCCGAAGCTTGGCTCTCCAACACTTATTCTTGCGTTATTGGTTTCATACAGCAAATAGCCAAAACTTTTGTAGGCTGCTTTACTATACAGGAATTAAGGGATTCCGAAGAACTAAATGTCGTACAAGAACAAAATATATCGAGCTGAACAGCAAAATCAATATTGTCACTCAATTTTCTTGGAGATAACACTACTAAACTTTTGTATATTGTTAGGTAATATTATTTTAACAATAAATGGTTCATTTCTCATGACCCCACTTTTCCCTTGAAAGATCTTACTAAGAGACTACACATTCTTGGGACTATTAGAAAGCTAAACTTAAAATCGTGATCTGCTATCCACTTGACTGCCAAGCACGAAAATAATGGCAATTTTTATTTTGTCCGGAGACGACTTAAGCCTCAGGCGTCTAGAGCTGAACTATCACAGGTGGTTGAGTATTCCCTTCCTAAATTTTATTATATTATAGGAGCTCAGAGGCTGAAGTGAAGAAACTAAAGTCGTCAATGGGTCTGGACGGCGAAAGTGATTTAGCTCTAAGCATGGTTAGCGACAATACCCAACGACTGACGAGCGCCGTCAACTCCTTGCCACAACTCATGGAGAAGAAACGGCTCATCGATATGCATACCACTATTGCTACAGGTAAGGAATTCAATAAAAGACAAACTGCTCTACTTTAATCTGCATTGATCATTAATTAGGTTGTAACACTCACATTTGATAAGCGTACTCGTCTTATTTCGAGCAATGGTGGGGCCCATAAGTACAGCTCCAAATGCAACGAATTTTATATAGCTGACCCAATACCATTTAGTCTTACTGTGCTGAACAAAAGCCTACTTGAAGGATTCCTCTCTGAATGGAATCTACAATATTATGCTTGTTTATTAGTTGTACCTTTATCGCACTGCTTTTTATATAGCTATTTTAAGATAACCTATTAACAATATCATTATTATTTTCAGCCATCTTAAACTCTATAAAATCAAGACGATTAGATTCATTTTTTGAATTAGAAGAAAAAATAATGAGTAAGAGCAGCGGTATTGAAAGTAAAGCGGTCATGGACCTTATATCGGACCCCAGCGCCGGGACTCCAGAAGATAAGATGCGGTTATTCATCATTTATTATCTGTGCACATCACAAATACCTGATGACGAGTACAAGAGGTTTGAAGCAGCGCTGCAAGCTGCTGAATGTGACATTAAACCTATGGCTTACATGAGGCGATGGAAGTGAGTATACCTTAACTACATAGTATAAAACAAAGTCGCTTTCTCTGATCCTTATTTATGCCATTCTGATGCGGTTGATTTTAATAAATAGAGTAATTGAATAGGATTTTTATGTACTTTTTTATGTGATATGTCTGCTCGTTTGCCATGGATCATGTTGAGCAATCAGCACCGCTCTTGGACCTTCGTTAACACGGCGAAACACAACGCCGTGGTTGTTTCACGCCGGTTTTCTGTGGAGCCGTGGTATCACTCCGGTCGAGCCGACCCATTCGCGCCGCAGCTTAGCTCTCCCACGCTTGCTACTGCTACTATACTGTATTTAAATGTGTGAAATCCATGCTTCGTTGGCTCACAGGATACCGGCGTGATACAACCACAGCGTTGTGCTTCGCCCTGTGTGAGGTTACCGCAGGTCCAATCTCTCCCCATCCCCCACCGTTTCCCAATCCTTAAATATCCTAAACCTAAAAGGCCGACAACGCACTCGACAATGACTCCTTTGATGTTGCGGGTGTTCATGGGCGGCGCTGATTGATTACAATCAGGTAATCAGTCTGCTGGTTTGCCCACTTAGACCATAAATAAAATACAGTACAATAACATTAATTAAATAGTAGGGTAATTTAGAATTGCACCCGTGCGGAGCCGGGGTGGGTCGCTAGTCTATGCTAATATTATAAAGAGGCTACAATTTCTAAGCTTGTATGTAGGGGGTAATCTGGGGGAACGCTGGTCGGATCTCCAAATTTCTTTCACTAATATATATCTACAATGTTCCTGGGTGCTATAAGTAGCCTATATAACATCACCCTGCGACCAATAGAAGCCGAACAGCCGGTGAAACTTCGCGACATTAGATAGTTACTTATAAACACTAACACCCGGTTTCTGAAAGGCTTGTCAGCGCTAAAATTAACTAATCTCCTGTTAAATCCCTTGTCAAGTCATCTGATTGGTTGTTGATAATTCAGTCAACCAATCAGATGACTTGACAAGAGATTAAATTGATTTTAACATTGATCGGCCTTCCGGAAACCGGGTGTAAACTTTTTGGTTATCGAACAGAGTATAAAGACTATTTTGTTTCTCGAACGGTTAGAACTTCAAACACCGGTTTCCAATCTCCCAATGTAGGTAACATTATTAACCAGTACTCAATCAGTTAAATACCTACATATACATTATGTAAACTATATTTTATTGGGTCCAAGTCGGACTGCGACCTAGGATAAGAAAGTCTTTCGACTGGTTATAATAAATATCTAAATTCTCATTCGTCATTTATCATTCACAGAGGTTTCACGAAGATGTCTAGTCAATATGAAGGAGGCGGCACCAAGACTGTATCCATGTTCTCCAAACTCGTGTCCCAAGGCTCTTCATTTGTAATGGAAGGAGTCAAAAACTTGGTCGTGAAGAAACACGTGAGTTAAATAATTATTTAGTTGAAAAATACAGCCTGGGACGTCAAAGAAATCAGAACCGAGATAAAAAGTTGAGATTTATTATTAGAAATTTGTACAGAACAATTTTTACTGACGACAAACTGTTTGAAGACTAATATATTAATATAAATCATGTTCTTATTTATATCTATAGAAGCTACCAGTAAGCCGTACGGTGGAGGCGGCACTCAGTGGCGCGGGTAGCGGCGAAGGTGCCGGGGAACTTCTATGGCTGGATCCCCGCGCCGCGCGCACTGACGCCGCCGCCAGAGCGCGCTCCGCCAAACATTCGCCCCCCACCGACGCTGTCGTCTTCCTTGTAGGCGGTGGCAATTACATCGAGTACCACAACCTTATTGATTTCACTAAGGTACGTAGTCATTGAACAATAAAAGTATGTCGGTTCCCAGACCAATAAATAGCCATAATTTAGCTCTGTACAAAAAAATTTACAGTCTGGTAATATTTTTTTCCTTCCCTCCACGAGATTAGATGCGATTGAGCTAATGACTTATGACTTAGACTCACTCATCCACATAAGCTATTTATTTAGTAAAGCTTCAAAACTGGTTCCAACGACAATGAAAATGTCAGTGCTATGACTACTATCAAATCATCAGCTGATCCCATCTAATCGTTTGTCGCCCAATTCCAGATCACCTACTCATATGTACTTACGATTATATTATGATAACTTTTAACGTGTCTTTATAATTCTAGCAACAAGCAACGAGCGGGACTTCCAGGAAAATCATCTACGGCGCGACTACCCTCCCGAACGCTTCTCAATTCTTAAAACAACTGTCACTTCTCGGCGAGGAGATACAGTAGACATTCCCGTCACATCTGATATTATATTCATTATGTATATTGTAATATATAGTAAATGTTAAAAATAATTAAATTATAATAAATATCGGTGATTTGTTGCAAGGCAATGAAACGAATGTCTCAACAAGTTGGCATTTTATTTACAATGACATTGAAAATATAGCTAACATCTAAGAATCTACTAATAAATTTTGATTGTTTTAAACAAGAAGTATAAAATCTAAATCACAAGATTTTTCAACATTAATCAGATCTTAGTCACAAGTTATTACAACTTTCCCGATGAAATGTCTGTTAAGAAGACTTTGAAAAAAGAAAACAATTTCACAACCCAAACAATAGATAGAACAGAAACAATGCATATACCTATCGAATAAAATAAACTTGTTGATTTTCCCCCCAGCCCTTAGACTATTGTGCTTAATTAGATAAATATAGAAACTAAAACGTGTATGTTTATTCAAAACATATACATAGTTAATAACCTTCGAAAAATAGTAAATATGTTATAGATTACTCTTAGACTAAACATATTACGTTAATGAATAAAGAAAAAAATAATTAGTATTCAAATGACAAGGAACTTGTATTTATCTCGCTCAGCACTGCAGTCTGCTATCTATTGCGATAAAAGTCGATTTAAAAGTGTCTAACAAACAATAAATCTTATAGTATGTTAAGTATAATATTTATCACTGATCATGATATGGTTTTGGCACAGTGAAAACTCAACTAACAACATAATGAAAAAAAACTAGAGAGCAAACATATGTCGTGTATACTGCTAAGTGTGTAACAATGGCAAGATCACGTTAGCGTATCTACTATTATTCGGTTATCTGTGGTAAACAAACGTCTAGTGGTAATGTTTGTGCAGAAAAAGGAACGGAAATCAAATTAGATGTTCTAACCCCGGTTTCGGTTTTGTTTACATAAACAATAATTAGCTTTAAAAATATCTCTTACTTAAAACATTGTGCGCAGTTAAACAAAACATTACATTACATACGGAAATTAAATTATAAAATCGATCACAATTTATAAATAAGTAATAACATACACTTGATAGAGACATGGCACATGTATAGGTAGCCATTGACACAAAATGGTTAAAAAGTTAAAACGAATATTATTATAATATTAAGAGATTATAATGGGATCTACGCCCGTATGTCAATCCATAAAATACATGACTACAAAAATCCTCAATAAGAACACGTTTACATAGTATACCAACATTTGATAAAACATACACAAAGGAGTTACATAAAATTAGGTATAGGACGTTAAGAGTTTAAATGAAATGTAACAGTTTCTAAAAAGTATTATGAAACCTATAATAGTACTCTTATTACTTAAACTATAGTAAATACAAGGAGCACTGACAGAACTAGTAAAATTACACAGATATTAAGGCGCATTTAGACAATTATTTATTGAACATTACTACACTTACAATTATTAAAAACTTTAAAGCAGTGCATGCTTAACAATCAAGCGATGATTTATTATGACAATAGATCGAAAACATTAACGAATGACGCGCTTCCATTGGCTCTCGCCTACTAAGGAGGCGCGTCGCCTAATTATTACCAACAAGTCAGATCAACAAATATTTGGTTCCAAATAAATAATTATAGCATTTTTACATTAAAATGAAAACGATTGCACAAAAATAATTTCTAAATAAAATACCTTCCTGTCCTTTCTGGTACTGAGACAAAAATGTAAGTATATGTTGTACCATACATTCGGTACCTACCCGCGCCACGGCGTTAATTGAATCTGTTTTAAAAGCAATTAAATATCTCTAAAGTGTTATGGAACGGAACATTAAATAGACACAACTCGCACATTATCAGACTTATAAGATTCATTAGGCCAATTTTCATAATAAGTAAATGAAAAATTGGTTCATATCATATAGCATTAAATATCAACAACACCATGGCACGGATTAACAAGCAAATTCCATAAGCTGTGATATGAAGAAAAATCCCAGTGTTAGCTATGGACGCTATGGACGGAAGATATATAATAATAAACACCATATTATAAAATTAAAATCTGACTTACAAAAAGCTTGCTTCGACGCCCATACCACCCCAATATAAATAGACATTAAAACAATCATAATTATGAACACAAGTAGCTTCGTATTTAAACAGTAACTAAATAAAATCCTAATTGGAATGTTCTTTAATTTTGTGTATAAGCTTTGCGAATACATAATATGCAAATAGGCATGATGATAATCTACTAAGTACTTATACAAAATTGATGCAAAATATAGATAAGTACATCAATGCTAATAAATGAAATTAATAAAAACAAATGCTCTTTCCTCACTGTTTGTTCAAATAATTATAATCAAAGATAAATAAGTCAGGAATTAAAAATAATATTTTCTTGTATAAAATTATACTGCAGAAATGGAATGTCAAGTTTAAATTATTTACTTCATTGCCAAATAAAATCATTCTCTGCGGAATGTTAATATATTATGCGACAGGGAAAGACTTACAACCAAGGCTCTTTTAAAGAGACTGGATTCATAAATAATTTCATACATAGCAAAAGCTGCATTAGTAAAAAATATTTAAAAGAAATAAAATGAGATTCATCGAATCTGTACATGATACGCTCTTTTTCATAGATTAGCTGTCAACAGTGTAGGCGGTAGCTCTAGGTACATAACTAAACACGAATTTGAATTTCAACTGGCATTTAACGCGTTACATAAATTTCGTGTAATTCATAATGTATAAATCCTTTTACGTTGTTTATACCAATAAACATTTTCACTAGTCTACCGCTACCGTGAAACAATGTTTTATCGAATCCATAACTCGTCTTTATATTTACCTTAAATTTTACTCAAACAACGGAACATTGAAAATGCTGCGGATATTACCTACACAGGGATTTACTGAAAAAAACTAGCTATCACTTTACAATTTCAGTCTTGCGTACAGATCTTTCACTCTTACCGATAAAACAATAAGTTGAGTTGCGCAAAATATTTGTTGGAATAAATCATGTAGCAAGGTAATGTCACGAGATGAATTTAGCAAATACAGCTATTTTATAATCGTTTTAAACGCGGAGTATCATATAACAACATTGAATTCAACAGTGCGTATAGGTAAGATATTACAATTCACTACTTAACAGGTATTTGAATATGACAGTGGATATATAGGACTTAGCTTTAGAATCACAAAACTTACGCTAGGCATAGCATAGGTGATCATTTAACAAACTTTAAAACAACTACTTCAAGGGTCAAATAGAATAATCACAATACATGATGTCACTACAGCAAATTCCGTTAACCAGTATCTAAATAGATACTCAAATGGATATAAGTGGGATGTAAGAAGCGGTACAACATTCTCATCGCCTAATATACTTTATCATATCCAACCATTATCATTTAAATGTAAATATTCGTCACTTTATAACTTGTAACTCTAATGAATTTGCAACAGACCTTATTTTTAAATGATTTGTCAGTATCACCATACCTAAGTAATAACTATTAAGTCAGTATCTTTTAAAGAGAACATTTTATTACCCTACCTAATTAATATTGATTTGCTTCAAAATGCAGTAAAAATTAAATCAGAAAATTCGTAAAAAAAGATTCATGTTCAACAGAGATAGTATTACAGATAGACATTGTCACAGTAAGTTTAACTTGACATGAAGAGAAAATACATGTATCAAATAGGAGATACATGTGTAATGAAATGTTTATAGGAATTCCGATGAGTTGAAGAGGTAAGCATAGTAGTGTAACTCCATATTTTTTACTTTTTACTACAATTACCATATTTATCCACAATAATTATTTACCCAATTAAAATGGTACATACCTTTATGCAAGCAGAAATGATAAATGACTAGACATAATGTCTTATAAACAGTTCGTTGATTTTAATCATTATGTAATATGCCTACAATTACGTTTTATAAGCACTGCTCCCAAGAACATAGCTTTTGAGAAGCGCTGATTTATAGAACAATTGTATAGCATAAAGGCGTCACGATAATAATAGCAATGACACGAATCTCGTACGCGTTTCTTAGCAACTGTTTTGACAATGAATACCAATTAATTGTGATATCTACCAATTTAACAAGCCATTCACCCGATGGTGCTGTAACAACAGGATTGCGTCGAACTTTGTCATTTCGTTATAAACCTACTATATAAGTTATTCTTCTAGGCAAGTGAAACAATGGCAATCAGAAGGTGGGCAGTCAGACAATACAGCTATTGTTTGCTTGAGCCGCTGGCATTGCGACTTGAGCTGCTGCTGCTATTAAGTGCCATTTTTTTCATTTGCCTGATAACCGTAGTAGCATGGTATGCCTGTTTCCAGCGTGACTTGGCAAAGTTCTTCTTGAGCTGTTCAGAAACAGTGCCATGGATGTTCTTGTTACTGGCAGCATTTCCAGAGATCCAAGGGTGGTCCAAAGCTTGTCTGGAATAAAATTATTTGTTTTTAGACTACAAAATAAAATAAACATGTACCCAATACAATTTACATACAAGGCCAAAAAGATAAGCTAGATTTTCTGTTTGCAAGTTATTTAAGTTATTTCTTTTGTATTAATATTATTTCTGCTTTATGAAGGCTTTAATGGATACGAAAGAACTGGCTACTATTGTTTGTAATGTACAAACTCATATACTGGCAGATAAAAGGTTAAAGTGGAATTTAACAAGTTACTGAAATTATTATGGTGTCAAAGAAATCTTCTAAAATACTTTCATCTATATAATGAAGTAAAGGAGTGCTATGAAGATTAGGAATATTGAAAAAATATATACATTCATAGTAATATCATTTTGTATTTAATTCATCCAACACAAGCAAGTGCTTTTGTGCAGCTATTGTCTTACTATTTGGTCTTGAATTACCACAATTGAAACATTAAATATTTTCTTAATGAGTTGAAATGTCAAATTTTAACAGTTAGAAAAAATATTTGTACCCACTTATTGAATCACAAATTTATAAAGAATATTATTTTATTAGCAAGCTTATCAATATACCTAATTGTTGATATTTATTTATAGAATTATATATTTTATGTAAGTAACTAGCTTTTGCCCGCAACTCCATTTGCATGGAATATTGACTTCCTAATAAAAACTATCCTATGTCTTTTCTCGAGTTCCAAATTATGTCTGTACCAAATTTCAAAGAAATCGGTTCAGTACTTTAGGTGTGAAGAAAAGACAGACAAACAGACAGAGTTACTTTTGTATTTATAATATTAGTATAGATTAAAAATGTGTGAAATATAATAAAATAAGATATAATATATTATTTAAATAATATAGTTACTTTGTTGTAGTTTTACACATTTTTTTAATTTATAAAAAGGTTGCATCATACGGAAATAATTCATTATTACACTGCTAGTAATGTAAAAAGGATATCATGAAATTAGTAAAAAAATCCTAACTACCTGCAATAGGTATGATTCTCCTGGAATAAGTATAGAAATGATATAAAAATAAACTACTAGAATATAAATAATAAGTCTTAGAAAAAATCTTCTGTTAGATGTCAGTTATGAAATATGTGAATATAATAAATAATTTGTAGTTGTAATGAGGCAACATAGAGGTCAAGAAAATATAAAATACTTTTTGTGAGAGGGCAAAGTAATTATATATATTGAAACAATGAAACAATGAGTTTATTTTTGCAAATAGGCTATAAAACTGCACTTTGACACATCAATTTATATGTAAAAACTAGATGAAGCCGGCACCTCCTATCTGACTACTCTGAGAAGAAATGTCGAAACAAACTCAGAGGTCAGTCTCTTTTCAAGTCCAGACAATGTAAAAATAACATAACGTGAGATAATAAGATTGATACTTACTTGCAAGTATATCTCTTGTCCACATCCACACACATTAAATGCCGAATGAAATCTTTAGCTGAATCACTAATATCATCCCAGTAAGGGGAGTCGAATTCAAAGTCACCTTTCAAGATCTGAGCGAACAGGTTAGCATCATTCTCATCATAGAATGGAGGGTACCCACAAAGTAGAATGTAAGATATTACTCCTATACTCCACACATCTACAGCCTTGCCATATGGTTTCTGTGCGAGTACCTCGGGAGCAACATATCCAGGTGTACCACATGCTGTAGCCATGATGCCAGAGTCCTCTATCTTGGACAGCCCAAAATCACTTATCATGATCTTACTATCCTCATCAGCACTGTAATACAGTAAGTTCTCTGGTTTCAGATCTCTGTGTACTACACCTTGAGAGTGCATGTAATCCACTGCTTCCAATACTTGTCTAATTAGATTGGACGCATCTTTTTCGGTGTAAGACCCTTTTTCAACGATTCTGTCGAACAATTCTCCACCCGTGACAAGCTCCATCACAAGATACACTTTATTTTTGTCTTCATATGTCTCGAGCAGCTGGACAATATTCGGATGAGAAAACATTTTTTTCTCGGCACCCTCACCTTTGGCTTGTTCACTAAATCTTTTCAAGACACGAATCTCATTTTCTAGTGAATCTTCTTTGCCTTTGAGAGCCTTTTTATCGATAATTTTACAAGCGAACATCTGCCCGTTTTCTTTGCTCTCTATCAAACGTACCTCGGAAAACGCTCCTGTACCCAACAGATCTTTGACGACATACTTGTCTTCGATGGATGGCTGTTTCTCTGAATCCTTTGCATCTTTTTTGGACTTCCTCCCAAAATCTTTTTTGCCAAATAAAGGCATCTTCGAGCCCCAAACTCGTAGGTTTTGAACTACTCTACTACTTAATAAATATCTACATACACACTGTAGAATGTAGATAGGTATGTCGAGACTAGCCCGACAGAACAATAATCTTGCTCGGTTGGATTCACGAATGTTGCGCAGGGCGCCCAAGGTCAGACGATTTGTCAAAAATCCGTTATGCGTTTTATTCGACGTAAACTTCATTATTAGAAAATTGTTTTTGTTATAACAGTGGCATTTCTACTAATCGTATTTCCACTTATCGACACAATGCAAAAGATTTATTAACAAATTAAAAAAAATATTCTATTGAAAATAAAATAAAGAACTTTTAAACATGAAACTAGTCGATTACGAATACTATTAGGTAAAATAAAACGTAAAGTTTATCACCAACATGTCACACTAGCGCGCGACACACATTACCCCTCTCAAAATCAAGTTTGCACTACAAGCACTTGTTTGAGATGAATTTGTACATACGTGCAGAACTGGTATAATTTATTCATATCAGTTCGAATATCGTGCGTCTCTTTTCCATAATCTAACAAAGATGAATTACGTAATGATAATAAAATTGTAGGTAGGTCTACTTTATTTCAAATGATAACAGAATACGAGGAGACGCGCTTAATAATTTATACTTATTTTAATGATTTTATTCGACTTGATGTAACTTTACGTATTAAGTTCAAAAAAAAAAAATAGTCGTAGCGTTATTTAGGTACTGTTCGAAACATGCCAGTTTCGAATAATAAGTATATGCGGGTAGGTAGGAGATAAAGATTTTGCTTATGCTCCTTTTTGATTCTTATAAAAATAGAAAGTTGCTATGAATTTCTTGAAATCATTTAAGTGTATTGACTGTTATCGTGTGATTTACTAAGACGTGAAGCTAAGATGATACCTACTTAGTTTAGTTTTGAGCACGTAGGTTCGCAAGACGTTTTCCCGTTTATTGTATATGTATTTCTGTAATTAACTTTAATCGATATGCTGGTAGACTTCAAATTTTGTTTATTATAAGTAATGCATTTTTTATAGTTTATTTTTCATTAACATATCATACATTTCATATTCTGGCATCCCAAGTCTACTTTTCTCAACCCCTGTCTACATTTTCCATTGTCTATGATTCCACCCCCTGACGTCACCGTGAAAATCGACCAATCCCATCGGGCGCAGTGTTCGATGGCCCTTATGCGCGGCATCACTAGCGCGCTTCGCTTCGTACCTTATCTTCTAATGTTTTCGTTGTGCGACAATATGTGCCGTTCCAAAATCATCCTAGCTGTGATTAAAATTGTATAAAATGATCGGTGTCATCATTTTGTCTCTGTGAAAAATAATTTCCATTTTATTTTGTCTCAAGTGTATTAGTTTTCTAAAATATCGTGAGGGGGTGGTGCCGTGATGCCAGTTCGTAAGCAAGGTGAATTTCGATATTCTAATATCGACGTTTAGTGGCTATAGTCACCGTGTTTTGTCCACGCTGTCATCGACTTATTATTTAATTTGCACAGGGGGTTGGCAGCGCTCAGCACATCACCCTATTGTTGATCCGTATCGATATTATTATGAGGGTTGTAACGCACACACACATTCGTAATATATTCTTACCATGCATCATGCTACACCTACTTACGCTACACTTGTTTTCTGTAATAAAACTGTAAGGTGTTTCATAGTAACCGCTTGGAAAACATGCCATTCCGAAAATGTAGGTCGACCATAATATGACTAGGTACTAACAGTAACTAGCCTCAAGCAATCTTATGACAAATATTACTCGTGTTAACTTAAACATTCCTAAATTGTCTTTCTCAATAACTTCAGTTTTTAACTTTGAGCATCAATTTCTTTATCAACAATTTTGGCCTCTGCCTACTATCTATTTGGGTAACAGTTATCCAAAATAAATTTCATAACAGAAGTAAACATGACCCATTTTAAGTACGCCTACTTTTATACCAGTTTACGTATTATATTCTTTGTTTTGATGTAACAGAGGCCCATCGAGCATTAGAACTGCTGGAAGACTACCACAGCAAGCTGGTGAAGCCGCAAGACCGACAACTTCGCCTTGCCATCGAGAGAGTTATTAGGATATTTAAATCACGTCTGTTTCAAGCTTTACTTGGTGAGTTTAAAGATCCATAAAATTAACTATTAGCCATTATTATTTAAACGGCGTTTAGTTAAGTACCTGCGTCAATTAACTGTAGTGTGCACGAATAGTACGACATTACACAAACTCTCAAGTGTGTTATGGACCTAATAACGAAGTGTAATAACTCACCTGCCCTACATAATGACGTACTAGTGTACTAGCTAGGTTGCCTTAGTATTTTTTATATTTTATCAGGGTTGAATCGAAGTTGGTTATGAAATAAACATTTTATGAATGGGATTATATAGATGTTCTGAATATGTTTTGGACCTACAACTCTTACCTACATGAAAATATTTCTCATAGGTACCTATACATTATCTTTCTTTACCAATTTTGCGAAGAAAAATCTTACCGTCAAAGCAGTAGGTACCTACACTCAATCATTGGTACCCGTGGTAAGAAGCAGATATTCTTTTCTACTGTTATCATGTCTCAAATGAGGTCACCCCCAACCTCCAGCTAGATCAATGTTCTTTAGTCGTGGCTCCACTGTTACTAAACAGAAATAGGTTACCCAGTAAGATATGAAAACAAGCCAAATGTCAAGCACTGCTCCCGCTTTCTATTGTTTCGATAGGAATTTTTAATTTATTGAAGTTTACAATATCGTAGTTTTTATTATAGCAATTCAATGTTTGAACTAGCAATCAAATATTTGAAGGAATATTATAAGTTTTTACAACATTGGATATCTTTCTTACTATTTGAAAATGGACACCAAAGTGACGATCAAAATACATAAACAGACGAAACATGGCAAATGTGGGATACCACAGGGTACAGTCCTGGGGCCATCCACAAAATTGATTACAGAATGCTTTCAGTTCCATTAGAGTTCATATTTTAATTGCTTTTACGATTGTAATATATACGTGTATTGTGGTATTATTACGAATACTTACTATTATTGAAGCAATAGCCGATTGCGATAGATGTTATGTCAGATACCTAGCTACATAAATAATAGATACAATCGGTGAGTATACGTGCCTACTACCGTAAAAAGAAATTACCTAATAGTACATGCAGGCGTCTACCACTCTATATGAAAAATATCAATAATAATATAATATGCCTGGTGATGTATCTGGTCGCAAACTCAATCTATTTAAAATAGCTCAAAACGTTACTCGTTTTACACCTTTGTCTATTGTATACTTCTCAAAGGACGTAATGTTATGTGATGTAAATAAGAATAAAGATGCACACCCCTTTTTATTTAGCTTTGAACTTCAGTTCGACTTTGAAGTTCAGTGGTCGAAGGGACCGATTCAGCTCAGTATGCTATAAATATACGGAACAGGCGCGTGACCGCACAACACGTCACTGGCGCTCTTGAATCTTCCTTGACCACGACACTGCTATTGTGATACGATATATTTAGCCAGTTGTACTGAACATTACGCTTGTCTAGTATCTGATATCAACAAAATGAAGGTCTCTCTGGGATACTAAACGTTCAATCACAGATTGTTTTTAATGTTCACGTTGTAGTACGCCAGCCAATTTATTAAAATATGTGAAATCTCATTAAATTCACCGGAATACATAGTTTATTTTTTTCATTTGCGGATCAAATACTACGTACGGGTAAAACAAATTGTAATATTAATTACTCAATAGTCTTCTAAATTATACACCCAGATACAATTTACTCCCAGACATGTCATAAAATGTGGATACCTAAGAATCCGCTTTCGGTTACAAGGTGAAAGCCTAATATCCTTATGACTATACCTACGTATATCTCTTTGTAATGACTTTAACTACGTGTAGTGTCCTCCCTATATGCAAAACTAAAGCACTGATAGAAATCCCAATGTGACTGACAAACCTTCTTCGAGCCTCCAGGTCGCCTGCATTCAAAAGTTGATTTAGTTGTATAGGTAGGTGCCTACCAAATTCCGAACGTGAGATGGTTACTTAATAGGTTTAACTGTTCAAATGTTCAGAATCGGTGCCAAGTATGTTTTACAGTACAAATATAAACAGTTGGGCATTGTGGTCCCACATTTACAATCTAACTAAACCAAAAACCTGACTAGACCCGACCAGATCACACCTAAACTGAAATTATCCATAAATGAATCGAAGTCATTCCGCACCTAGCCATCGCAACTGCTTAGGTTCCAGAGTCCCTTACCTATCCCTCAGTCAGGTCGTAAGTACCTATCTCACTAACTTCGATACGATCTCTAATTTGTAAAGATTTCTTGATGATAACTAAACACAAAATTACTTACTAAGTATATCAAAATGACGTAGGTTATAATTAGGCTTAAACAACCAATTTTAATAGGAATTATCTGGTCAAAATTCGTGCTGTTTTACGTCAATCACGATTGCGGTTTGACCAAGTTCAATTAGGGCTATGTCGATATATTTATCTACATTGGATTAACCTTGCCCTGTAGTCGATGCGTACTTGATTGCAGCTGACTGCATGCGTCATGTAACGAACACACATGGGCTTCACTGCATCACAGTTACAGACGTGAAGTTGTTCAACTTGCTTTCAAGAATATTTAAGTAGTTCTTTAGAAAAAAATAAATGTTTCTGTCTATAAAATATCAATGCAATAGTAATTATCATAATTAGAACAGCATAGGTAGCTAAATATATATACCTACCTATTGCGAGTAGGTACAATAACTCTATACGTGCTTATGATTATTTCATTTAAAAATGTTAATTGTTAGGTATGATGAATCCTTTTCCCTAATCTTAGTCGATTCGATCTACTATGATCGGATAAGTGCTATAATAATATTGGATAACAAATAATTTTAAACATCATTGCTTCCATCCAGTATACATAGAGCAACTCCTACTAAAGTAAGAAGTATTTACCCCATCCCTATGTTTTTCATTGATTCAACCCTATAACATCCGAATGTCCGAGTAACGTTGTATTACTGTTGACTCTAATCTCTCAACAGATACTAATTAAACTCGATCGGAGTGATTGAGTAGGTACACACGCAGTAAAACTGTTGTGTTATTTATCATATGTCGCTTACGCACGCAATCAGTTGAAAATAATATGAATAATCTTGACACAATCCCGTTGTTTATTAGTTTGACGTGATAACTGACTAGTCCAGCCTCTGTTGATGACTTTTATGTGTGTAGATACCTATTTAAAGTTACCAAATGACCTTTAAGATAAGTTTATAATGGATAGCTACTGGGTCACTAGTTCACTCCACTTAAGTACATCTAATTACTTCTTGTAAAAAGAAAAATGGCAACGTAAAATCAGTAAGTATAAGTATTAACGTAGGTTCAAAGATAGATTTAATTTAGGTAGTATAAAAAATAACTAAACAACAGGTGATATTTTATTTTGAAATTCGTAAATCGTAGGTAGGTAAAATAACTGACTACCCTCTTG